TGAGTCACTCGTCGTTGGATGCGAATGCAAAAAAAAAAAAATTGGTTTTTTTTTTTTTTCTACTACAAGGATCTACAAAAAGTACTGAATGTATTCCATTGATTAAAAATGACAGACACCAAGAAAATGATTGATAGAAATAATATAACAACCCTGGTTCAATCTAGTTCCCATGTGGCAAACCATCCCATGGATCCACAATGTTAATAGGGAGCTTTCCTATGTTCTCTGCACAACGTAGATTTGGTGAAATAGCGCCCTGGAATCCAGGTGACGTGGAGAACTTAATAATAGTGACGTCATTATGTTGAAGGTTCTACCACGTCATGAAATCTAAAGCTTCCTAGAGCCTAAAAGACCCCAAAGAGTAGGGTTAGCAAATTCCCCATCAATCATACTGTATATACCCAGTAAACATTTATAAACTTGTATTCATAACTAAGTGTAAACTTACCAATTGACCGAGTACCAGAACAGCGAACGCCAGCATCTTCATGATGGTTGCAGTTATTTTCCCCCCAATTGTTTTGAATGCAATTGATGATTTCACGCTCATTTCCGACACAAGATACATCATCCAGAAGGATTTTCCCTACGGAATATATTTTATGATTATTTGCCATCCTTTATAAACAAAATCAGTATGATACGCGCATGTTTTACCAATCTTTTTGTTACTGGAAGAACGATCTTTGATTCCCACCAAATCCCCATCCCAATATTGTTCAATTACAAATAAAGTATTTGTCAAGGAATTGCATCTTAATAAATAAGTTTAAATACCTTTTCCCGGTCCAAAACCTGGGGAACGAATAGCATCAAGAGCATGGCCGTATCCCAACTGTTGACATACAACTTCTGCATCGGAAATATCCCACATATCATCGCACACTGTTCCCCATTCTCCATTTACAAAAACCTAAAAATATATAGAGACGATTATTTATACAATACGCCTTTTTCACGAATCGGTAGACATCTTGAAGTGTTGACAAACATTGCGAATCAGCGGTGCGTAACCAACAGAAATAAGATAAGCTTTTGGGCGGATTTTTTGACATCATGTTATTTAAAAAATCCTAACTCTATAACGGGGCGTCGTATCAAAAAAAAAATCCACCAAAATGTTCTTAAAAGACTAGTCTACACCACTATATGATTGAAAAAAAATTGAAAAATTTTGTT